GATGCACTACCCAGCGGTGATGAGCATAACTTATCACTAATTACCTGCACACTTCTTACAGATGACAACACAGAGATTGATGGATGCCCAGTCAGGATCTGGAGCCTTACAGTCTGCACAGCTTCTGTTGGACTCATTGAACCAAATTTTCTCAGCTACTTCATAATCAGAGAGAGTTTCTGCGATTGATTGCTGCACAGCTTCAATCCACTCTTGTTTCTCTTTTTCAGACTCGGCTGTAAAGCTGAAACAATTAACATTTCTGTATTATCGATCTTCCTTGTAAAGGCCAATTAAGCAGTATGTTAAGTTTGCATATTCATTTCACTCACAAATTAAATAGCAGCTAAAGAATATGCCTTCTGGGTAGTTCTGGATTGTCTTTTCTGTTAAAAATCATCTAACTTATCAAATCTTTTTTCTTTTCATTTTCCACATTGCTATGACTTTGTTTACATAGCTTGAACCAAAATTAACATGCACATTTTTTCTGACTCGATGGCAGTGGGTTTGGTTTTGGTTTTATATGAAAATTGCCTTGTTAAGTCAAAAGCTCAAATGAGAGGTCCTGTTTCCTAAGCATTGGTTATATAATAATGAGCAACAGACTGGCAGAGTTTCAAGACTATTAAACTATTTCAGCAAAGTAGTATGCCATGATAGCCAGGAATTAAATAATCAAAAACACCCACTAGAAATGGTCATTTTTTTTTCAAACTTAAAAAGAGGCATTAATTTTTGAATTCGAAGAATGCCCAGATGGCTCTAAGAACCTAAGGAAAAAAAAAAAAAAAGTTTTAAGTGATTACCATTCTACCAGACTTCTAACTCAGATACTCATATTTAGACATGTTCTAATTTATTTTAAATCTTGGTGTTTATTGGGTGCTTTCAAGAAAGCAAAAGACATTAAACATTAGTTCACTCATTTATGAAATCTCTACTAAGTACCCACAGTATCCCAGTGATGTGCCACCATGCTATATGCCAGGTCAATGACCCACAATAAATTTCTTCACATTAAAAATTTTGATTTATAAAAGAAAATGCAGAGAATAATAATAATAATGGGAGACTAGTATGTTCTAACCCATCCATTAAAAATGAGTTGCCTACATGGAGTATATTTTTATAAACCACATTTCATAAACCACATATCATCCCTATAACATTGATAAACTTCCTAGTGGTACCTAGTTCCATGTAAGGAGAGATTGGTCATAAGCAATATCTATATTTTGAGTTTAGCCTACAATCTGTTAGTTGTTAGTTGCCATCAAATCCGTTCTAATTCACAGCAACCCTATGTACAACCGAATGAAATACTGCCCAGTCCTGCATCATTCTCACAATGGTTGCTATGTTTGAGCCCACTGTGGCAGCTACTGTGTCAATCCTTCCTAATGAGGGTCTTCCTCTTTTTCACTGACCCTCTGTTTTACCGAGCATGATGTCCTCCAGGGATTGGTCCCTCTGATAACGTGTCCAAATTATGTGAGATGAAGTCTTGCCATGTTCTCTTTTAATGAGCAGTCTGGCTACACTTCTTCCAAGATAGATTTGTTCATTCTTCTGGCAATCCATAGTTTATTCGATATTCTTTGCCAGCTCAGTTCAAAAGCTTCATTCCTCTTCAGTCTTGCATGTATTCATAGCCCAGCTTCTGCATACATAAGAGGCAAAAGAAAATACCATGGCTTGGGTCAGGCACACATTAGTCTTCAGTGGGACATCTTTGCTTTTTAATACTTTTCAAAGAGGTCTTTTGCAGTATATTTGCCCACTGCAACATATCATTTGATTTCTGGACTGCTGCTTCCATGGACATTGATTGTAGATCCCAATAAAATGACTATCTTGACAACTTCAGTACTTCCTATGTTTATCATGATGTTGCTTATTTTATTGGTCCAGTTGTGAGGACTTTTGTTTTCTTTATATTGAAGTGTAATCCATACCTGCAGTCTTGACCTTCTTCAGTACTTCCAGTCCTCTTCCCTTTCAGCAAGCAAAGTTGTGTCATCTGCATATCACAGGTTGTTAATGAATCTTCCTTCAACCTTGATATCATGTTCTTCTTCATGTAGTCCAGCTTTTGGGATTATATGCTAAGTGTACAGACTGAGTAAGTATGGTGAAAGGATAAAATTCTGGCACACACTTTTACCAATTTTAAACCATGCAATAAATATAATCATATACACAAGAGATAATATCTATTTTATATAGCACTATTACAAAAAGTAAATGAAGCAATATAAATTAAGGGCCTGATATATAGCAAGCAGTTCTATTACTTGAGCATTCTAAATACAAATTTTGCCTTAAAAATAAGTTTCCATTTTATTTTAATGACTAAAAGTATTCACCAGCCACTCCTCAGAAACAAAGTTGGGCAATCTACTTCCATAGTGATACTGCCTTGGAAACTCAAGGAAGGGTTGCTATGAGTCGGATCCAACTCCATGGCAATGGTTGTGGGTTTTTTTGGGGTGTGTGTGTGTGTGTGTGTTTTAAAAGTATTCACACCAATAATTCATTATTAACTAGAATTCATGGTAAATAATTACTAAGAAGCTGAAATTGGCTATTTCTATGCATTCACAGCAATACAACCTGGTTAAAATGACATTTTAGAAGTACATAGGGAAAGAGCAAAATAAAAAGTTCATTACCAAATAGAAAACATTTTAAAGCATTTGTTATCCCAATTTTGCTGAAATCTCAAACCTATTTTTGGAAATACTGGAAGCCAGGTTTCTATGCCAGGAATTGAAGAACTCAGTGCTTAAACATTTGTTCGACACAGATGTGGCATTGTATGACACTGGCACCAGATTTCCTGGGGAACACCAGATGTAAAGTTTGGCCAAATACAGAACCCAGAGAATTAGGGTACACCATTGACAAGGTCGAGAATATGCATATGTGAAAATAAAATTAATTATTCCTTATGCAGTCATTTTTTTTCCTCAAAATTTGAGCCAGTGTGTTTATTTTAACAGAAAAAATGAGTAACAGATTTGATAGTATTTTTGAAATTGGTAAGTAACTGATACATTGGTAAAGGAGTATGATCTGCATATCACCCTGTGGTTTGTTCATTATTCTGGAAAACAGATTAAGGTGGCTAAATTTAATAGATACTGACTTATGACTATTCTGTATACTAAAGTTGCAAAACCATTATAGATTAATAAAATGTATTAAGAACTTTAACTTCCCTGTTTCATTGTCACAATGAAGCAATTACTAGAATGCCCTAATACAAAATATATAATAAAATGTTAAAATGTTTGGATCGATAAGTGCTGTGAGATGCATTACATTTAGCATGATTCTGGACTGGATTTCTTTATAGCAAATTATTATGGAGCAATCAAATGAGTGGTTGATCTTAAAGGAGGGATTATATTTGACTGGGCTAAAAGATGGTAAACAGTAATATGCTTAAAGGCACATGATATGCTTTTTGAATTGCGTTCCTTCTCAGTAAGAAGATATGTCACATATTGCATGATTAAAGAACTAACATATTCACCAAGTCTACTAAGAGAAAGAGGTATTAAGAAATGAAACTATCCAAATCTCATAAAACAAACTTCTTTGCAGGCTATAAAATGTCTATATTACAATATTTTCTATATATATTGGCAAATAAAAGTAGATAATATGGAAATATGAGATATTTAAGTGTTCTATAGAAAGTAAAATCATCATCACTGGTGTAAAGGTAGATCACTCATGATTTTCAATAGTAGTACAACCATTAAAATAGCTCACCTAAAACTTCTGTAGGGAGTGATTATTTCAAAAGATTGTTTCACAGTTCGGTCCACTTGCTTTACATTTGCTACATTCATAGGAATTATGGTAATACCAAGTCCACTCTTAAAATCCTAAATAAAAGAAAAAATAAAAATGAAAAGAAACAGCAATAATGGATTTTGAAACACCAGCATATTTTCTAATAAACCCTATAAAATCATATTACTTATATGTGTGTGAAGGGAGCTCTCATGGCATAGTGCCTAAGCCATGTGACCGCTAACCAGAAGCATGGTCATTCAAACCCACCAGCTGCTCCTTGGAAGGAAGATTAGGCAATCTACTTCTGTAGAGATAAAGCCTCAGAAACCCAAGGAGGGGTTGCTATGAATTGAATCAACTAGACGTCAGTGAATTTGGTTTTTGTGTATGAAAATTAAAATTAATTGAAAAAATGAATTGAGAGTTCTTTCCTACTTAGGGTAGTCATTTCCAGTAATACTACGCCATTCTAAATTTGAGAGATGTGCAACCGATAAAGCAGGACAGTTTCTTTCACAGGGAAGTAAGATAACTAGGTCATAGATCTTGAATTACATGTGTCTTTCTTTTGAAGAAAAGCATTATATTCACCTTTGTTCATCCAGTAAAAGGAACTAACAGTTAACTCGCCATTCGGTGGCGCAGTGGCATAGCACCTAAGGCATTTGACTACTTACCAGAAGGCTGGTGGATCAAAACCACCAAGCACTCCTCAGAAGGAATACTGGGCAATCTACTTGCTTAGAGATACAGCCTTGGGTAGCTATGAGTCAGATCCTACAGTATTAAGTTTTGTTTTGTTTTGTTTGTGTTTGACTACGCGCCAAGCAATTTCCTAAGTGAGGAGTCAAATGACACTGCAATGTTGGCATAATTATTGTTTATTAAAAAAAAAAAAAAAAAGGGAGAAACCAAACTGCAGAGATAGTTACATTGCAAGTGCAGCTAGCTGTACCTGGTGGAAAGGAATTAAAGTGCCTGATACCCGACCGTCCCTTCTTTGTTTTACCATGCTATCTCTACTTAAACGGAGGCATTACTTGTTTTGTAAAGTATGCAATTTTATCTAATTTCCAGTATTTATTACATTACTCTTCCTTCTATATGATAGTTTAAAAAGTCCCTCTATGCTATTTTGGTATGAAAACTGGCATTTGTTCAACAACTACACCCATCACATCCCGTTTGTCTCACCAAAATTAAAGCTGTTCAAAAGGTTGATGAAAGTCAGCATTCTGAAAGCTCTGAAGTTTGCAATGTATTATCCAGTTACATGGGTTATAGAATTTAACTTACCAAATAAATAAGCTTAACATGTAAAAAACTGTAATTAATCTGTGTCTCAAAAAATAAATTACCTTTATTAACAGAGTCAGATTAAATGTGTTCTGAATTTCTAACCTAAATCATTATTAAAATAAAGTAGCCAAATTAAAGGCAAACTACAAAAAAAATAATGATCCACTGTCAACAAGAAGACTTGTGGCAAAGACTGTGAAAGAAGCAATTCACAGACCCCGTGCTCCTTCTCTCTCCTGCTTTATACGCTAAAAGTGAAAATACCATTTTCCCATCTCCCTTACAGCTATGACTGGCCACAGCTATAGCTTTGGTGGATAAATATAAATCATTCCTGGGAAGGGAAGGGTGATGGAAAATCCTTGGAAGAAAAAAGTCTTTCACTCCATGCCTTTCCAACTTGTTGGGAAATGTCAACCAGAAGCTCAGAAGCCATTTTCCAAAACCAAACCAAACTCATTGTCATCTAGTCAATTCTGACTCGTATTGGGTTTCCAAGGCTGTAAATCTTTAAGGAAGCAGACGGCCTCATCTTTCTTCTGCAGAGTGGCCAGTGGGTTCGGACCACTGACCTTCTGGTTAGCCTTAACTACTACACCACCAGAGCTCCTCAAAATGAGAAATCTAAACAAATTCTTATGGCGTAGTGCCTAAGGCATTTGACTGCTAACCAGAAGGCTTGGGTTCAAACCCACCAGCCACTACTCTGAAAGAGTGAATCAGAACCCACTTCACAGTAGTGACTTTGGTTTTAGGGAGCTCTGGTGGCGTAGTGCCTAAGGCATTTGAACCAGAAGGTTGGCAGTTCAAACCCACCACCCACTCCTCAGAAGGAAGACTGGCCAATCTACTTTTGAGGAGATACTGCCTCAGAAACCCAAGGAGGGGTAGCTATCAATCAAGTCTGACTCGACGGCAGTGTATAACCACCACAGCAACAACAGGGATGTAAGTGTGGGAAAAAATAGGGAGGGTCTGTTCTTTGATGAACTCACCAGCACAAAGTGACAGCACAATATAAACCAAAGTAACAGTGCTCTAGAGAGCTATTAGTAGGAAACAAGTGCACTTTCTCTTAAAAATACTTTTGGTGACATTAAGCCTTTTTTTTTTTTTCAGTTGGTACTTAGAACATATTTAGAATAGTTCTCATTCCCAGATGCTCATCAAAATTACCTACAGCGATCTCTCCCTGCCATCCTGAGATTCTGATTCCATGAACCAGAGGGCAGACCCTAAGACTCTTTTGTTTAAAAAACAAAACTACGACCACATGATTCTCATATGTAGTTAACACTGAGAAACACTGAATTAGACAGCAGAACCAGTGGTTGAATTTAGATGGTTTTAAATATCAGATGCATTTAAATATTTAAATGTCATTTTAAAAATCAAAATATAAATACTCTGTCTTCAGTAGAACAATCAGATTGTAAACAAATAAACAAAATAAAACATTGTTCAAAAATAGTTAGGCCAGACATAGTTAAATGTTGGGTGTAAAAATCCTATTTGCCCTGAGGGCCAACTCCTATGCTAATGCGCAGATGTTTTAAAAATATCAGCCTTCATTAAGCATATACAATGTACTTCTTAACTGATTTACTATCACTCTGTGTAGTGTTCTGAAGTTTGCAAACAACTACAAACTCTCATGTGATTCTGTGAATGATTATATGAGGTACCCAGAACTGATATTTCCATTTTTAAATGAGAAAATAAGTCTTGGGAAAGCTGTGTTTATTAAGTACCTAGTGTATGCCAGGAATTGTGCCAAGTCTTGGGTCCACACAAAATAATGAAAGTATCTACCTTGAGGAAGCTAATAGGCTTATAAGGGAATAAGAATTGTAATAGGTACAATGGAGGGGGGAAAAAAAAAAAAAAAACATGGTTGTAGGGTAAGCACTGAATCTAGTCCAGAAAAGAAAAAGCCCTGTTCCAAACAACCAAAGTAGCTTTCCAAAGGAACTGATGTTTGACTGTGTCAAAGGGCAAAACACAGCCCCATTAATATCAATAACCCTAAAATTCACTGAGTTATAGAAAAAAAAGAAAGAAAAAAGGAGGCTACATACCTATCTATAATCTGTTTTTCATAGTGTAAGATATGTAGGTTATCTGTGCAAAGCATCTCCACAAAAAAAATGCTCGTGCTGTAAGCCTGCCTTGTTTCCTATGTACAAGATACAGGCTATACATAGTAATGTAAACAACCTAGACATAATATTAACTAGACAAACAGATTAGACACAGACAGAAACACACAAAACCCAAAGATCATCAAATGGAGAAGACAATTGAGTTTGAAAACAAAAACACCAGAGCTGGTCTTGCAGAGTTTAAGCTCTCAAGTGACATAATACTGTGAGCTTTCTCGTTAAACAAAAAAAAAAAAAGAGAGAGAGAGAGAAAGTGAATATAGTTTATTCCCATGAAAAGAATAGTTGGCTGTACATGTACTACTTGTTGCCACTAGAAAAAGGCACATTGTGAATTTAATACGTTTTACTAATGAAAATCCTTATAGAACTTGCACAAATATTACACATTTGAATTATCTTCACTGTTTCTCATGTATTAGGCTAAAATACATTTCATTTTAAAATTAGAAAATTATAGTCAGATAGATTTTCTTTCTGCTTAAAATGCCATTTATAGATATCATTTAACAACTGAGAAGAAATCCCCCAGTAGGCTCCACAGTCTTACATCTGTGCGAGTTCAGTGGTCACTCAGAATGCTGAATATATATTGATTGGCACCCTGTACCTGCAGCTCAGTAATGGGAATGAAACAGTTCCCCACTATTCCTGTTTAATGAAATGTATCTAACATGTCCCCATTCTACACAATATAGTTTTAACTTCAACACATTTTAGCTTTTGTCTAGCCCATCTCCAGTATCTTGCCATCCTGGGCCTCCAGTATCTTACAAACATGAAAGAGGATTCTTTAGCATGTTGTTTTGGTTTTCCAAAATAAAACGACAGAGAAAGGAAAACTGAAATATGGAAGTAAAAGCACATAAATTATATACGTACATAATGAAAAACTGTAATAGCTTTCGAATAAAATGGCACAAAATCTGAATACTAGCTAATGTGGTCAGTTGTCACCAACATCCTTAATGTTTCTAAGTATACCCCTTTTGACAGTTAGGAAATTATAAAAATTAGACATTTTATATTTAGTGAAGTATTTAAATCCATATCCTTTTGCATTTATCTAAAAAAAAATTCCTATCGGTGCTCTCTGAACAAGAAATTTGTTTGTATTCATACTGAGTACATGAACGTATTTAAGCATAATCACACACACAGGTATGCAGGCAGAATTTATTACACAGTCTTTATAATGTGAAATACTAATCACATGTTTACCCAGGCTTAAATATTTCTATTTTAAAGTATTTTCTAAAAGGTTTCATAAACTGACAACAAAATGAAGACAAGAGAATACAAAATGACAGCAGAAAATAGTCTCAGATATGTATAATTTAGCTGACTTTTCTAGCCAATTTCTCCAAATAAACTTAAAATTAACCTAATAACTAGATACACAAATTATACAATGCCACTAGCTATTTTCCACTCATTAGAGTTTAACGTTTGACTCAAAACAAATCTGTCTAAAGAAATAAATAATTGAATTATGGAAAAAAATCTTAAAACTAGAAGAGCCTTAGCTACTTCTTAGGGAATTTTTTTGTCATTAAACTTGACAAAGCCTAATATGGGTGAAAAACCGGAAAGAGGAAAAAAAAGTATTTTACTTAGAAAAAAGTTGT